TTATTTCAAAATAAAATTTATTTTCTTTTCAAGTATTTAAAAGTCTGTTTAATGAGATTGACTTTTACAGCCCTACTCTCATGAAAATACATCATTATATATGGCTAAAGAAGTGTTTGCAATCAAGGTTTGTCATACATAATAAGAATCTTATAAATAGAGAAGAAAAGGACTAAGGGGATTGAAGCACAGTCCTTCCAATCATTTTAATACCTAACTCTAATATAATCATTTCCTTGCCACAGATGGTAGAAAAAACTAAGCACAACTAAAGTTTCTTTCCTGTCTAAGTTCCCATCTTTTGCCTAAAGTGTTGTCTATGCAACTCCAAAAGGTCCACAAAGTTCAGTTAAAAAAAAAATTATCCTACTTACCAACCCATTTCACTAGTAATTCTGGGATCACACAGTAAACAGGGCCTAAATCTCAGCTCTAGGCTCATTTCTTCTAAAAAGGTTTCCCAACACAGGGCATCCTCCAACTAAGCACAAACCTATGACATACCACTACCATGCATTTGGGCTTATCATATACCAGTCCACTCTGTCTCTCATTAATGTAGTAGTATCTTGTTCTTTACTGGGCATCGATATAATGCTCTGCACCTACTGAAATTCAACAAATATATGCCACTTATCCTGCAAATGGCATACTTAGTTTTATTTTGTTTTTTTTGGTTTTGGGTTTTTTTTGCTGTTCTAAGAAGACATTTGTTATTTCTCTGAAACAATTTATTGTAATCCCAAGCACATCTAAAGAAAGAAAAAGATCTCATGAAATAAATTAACAAATTGAACTATATTTTACTATCTTACAAGGCTAAAAATTCTGAACAACCATTGCATCTGGGAGGGGGAACATTAGCAACTCAGAATCTACCCACTAGCATATAAGGCAATTCTGAGTCTGCCACAGTTTCATTCTCCTGAAGTCTCATTCTTACTAGTAATCAGGCCTGCAGTGTGCCTGGCGCTGGCCAACCACTTATGAACACACCACCTAGCCATCAACTATTAGTACACATCATTTTACATGCCAAAATTATTCTGAGGATTATCTGTCCTAATGCTGCTCTCCATTATAGTATTAATGTAAAACTGAGAGTAGGCCTATATAAACCATTCACTTAAAGCAGTTCATTATGTATTGATTTTACAAATTTTCACTTAAATGTTTCTAAATGTAATTTGAATAACTGTGATTTATAAATTTGTTAAGACTTCAAACTAAGTTTGTTCATTAAAAAAAAGAAAAAATTCCATTTTCCTGTAGAAGATATTTAAGATCAGAAGACATTTATAAACTATAACTTAATAGTTTGTTACATGGGATTATAATGTTGTATATGTTGGTTACAATGTTATATTCCTTACCAATTGCAAATTACAAATAAGCAGTAAAGAAAAATCTCTGTTTTAGATAGAGGTAGCCAAGCTATTAGAATAATTAGTATTCCATGTTACAT